TATCTATTTCATTAGATAAAATTTCAAATACTAACAATAAATGTTTGTACTTTTAGTGTCATTGTATTGACAATCTACTCCACCTCGTTTCTGATTAAACCAATCATTTGCATATGATGAAGGTGAATATTTTGAACAGTTACTCAATTCATTCTCAGTTCCAGTACACACATATCTATAACCAACTCTTTCATTCTTACCACTCCAGTTAGTATCAGTAATTGCAACAGACCCTACAATAGATCACATACAATAGATGATATTATGTTATACTTACAAGTATCATAATATCCTAATTGTCTGCAAACAACTTTAGCATTATTATAATTCCAGTATCCTGGATCAATTGTCATCCATATGCCATCAGTACATATCTCTACTCTTCCTTCATTATCTCCTCCTCCATCAGTTAAGTGAACTGTTCCATTGCTACAATTTACTACACCTGCAACAATGTAAATTCATTCATTGAGTATTGTATTAACTTTACTTGAACATGTGAATCCTCTTGCTGTATTACAGTAATAATTGTAAGGACGATCATAGCAATTCTTCAGTGAATTCTCATTCCCACTGCATGAGAATCGAATATACATGATTGGAGCAACATTCTTATTTCCACCAAACAATGAATTATATGAATATAAAGCCCCTTTAATGATAAAAGATGTTACATAATTTTAATAAAATAGATTTACAGTTAGTATCTTGATAACCCAGCTGTCTACACACAATATTTGGTGAAATCCACCACGAATCACACACAAAAACCCACACTCCATTAAAACAAATTTGTAAATCTCCTTCAGCGTTAGACTGTCTCCCATACAACTTGATTTCACCATGAGTACAATTACTTGTATCTGCAAAATAATATAGATTTTATAATTAAATAAAGTGGATTCTTTACTGTAACATTTGATGCCAACAGTGCGTCCATAGTAGCAATAACGATAATGGTAATTATTACAAGATGTCAAGTTAGTTTCTGATCCAGTACACTGAATTTTCCATAAAATTTGTTGATAGTCTCCATCACCAAATTCAGAATTTCTAAATATTGATCCCTCTAAAAGTAAAGTTTATCATTGCAATAAATTGTTATTTGTAACAGTAAAACATACCTGTATTTTGGCTGTATTGTAATTGTCTACAAACAACTTTAGTTTCTCTTCTATCCCAGTACTGATCACAAGCAGTTCCCCATTCTCCATTGATGCAAACTTCCACTCTTCCTTCATCTGGTGTAGTACCATTAACCAATCTAACACTACCATTAATGCAGTCAGTTAATACTGTGATGGAAGCAATGCATAATATGCAGTATAATTATATTAACCTCTCTCTGAACATTTCACACTAACATCAGTTGTGTGACTAACTGAAAAACTTGTAGAGTAAGTACAATGTTCTAATCTATCTTCATTCCCATTGCATCCTAAATAATGAAACAGAACTGGACCAGATCCTTGACCAAAGTAAGCATTCCAAAATATCAAAGCTCCTGCAATCATTAAGACAATGTAATAAAGAATTAGATAATAATAGTCTATCATACGTGGTGTCTGATGACCAAGTCTTCTGCATACTACATGAGCATCTCTAACATCAAATCCATAGCTACTAACAGTACCCCACACTCCATTACTGCAATACTCTACTCTCCCTTCCACTTTATTAGGACCATTAGGACCAACAAGACGCATACTACCAGTAGAACAATTTCCTGTGTATTAATATTGAAATCAAACAAGATCTAAATAAGCCACATACCTGGTACAATGCTTCCTTTACATCTAACTCCAGATATTCTGTACACACTACGATAACTATAGTAACAACTTGATGTAGACTTTAAGCAATCATTCAAACTTGACTCATTCCCAAAACATCTCCAGTTGTACAATGTTGGTATTCCATGTCCATATCCAAAAGAATTAGAATAATAAACAGGTTGTGCATCTATAAATATGTGGGTAGTGTGTAAACCTCATGAGATCATTATAATTCATTGTACCTGTTGCTGGTAGACCTAATTGTCTACACACTACAAATGATTCTTGATATCCCCAGCGATAATCACAGACACTAGTCCATGCTCCATCATTACACACTTCAACAGTTCCTTCTGTTAATATTAGTCCATCAGTGAGTCTCACTGATCCAGTACTACATGAATTAGCTACAAAACATAGTAGATTTACATCATACATGTAAATATACCTGGACAAACTATACCAACATCTCGTGAATGTGAGCAACCATAAGCATTACCAATATCTACACCTCTATTACAATCCAGCAAGTTATTCTCAGATCCAGTACAGTACAGGCGGTTGAGCCATATTGGACCGGTACTTTGACCATAATAAGCACTACCATAGTAACTTACAGCTGGAAAAACAAATAGAAATGTAAAACACTACAAATTTTTATTATTACATTGTCCTCCATCTACTTCATATCCAAGCTGCCTACAAGCTACTCTTGCATTACCATAGTATCGAAAGTAATAATCGCCACATACACTTCCCCATACAAAGTTGATACAAATCTCTAGTCTTCCATTGTTGGTAGCGCTTCCATTCACTAACCTCAGTGTTCCATGCTGGCAGTTGTCATTAAGTTGACCTAATGCAACTGTAAAATAAAATGACAATTTTTATAGACTAAGATTTGCTATAATATACCAGAAACATTTAGAATCCACAAGATCACTTCAAGTAAATGCATGCTCTTTTAGTAAATGAAGTTCACAAATGATAAAGCCGATTAAGTAACAGTGATGTATTCCGTAACTGGAACTACATTAAGAAAAAATATCAATATTACATTTAAAATATAAACCATGTACCATTAAACTTGACATCAATAGTCAGTGCCGCGTCGCTTCAATTTACTGTTAACGCACCCTCATAATTATTCCTCTAATGGCTTCCACAATAAAAACTTTCTATTCCTGATTAAGTGCACCTCTTGGTCAAATTAAGATAATTATTTTTGGGCATTGTAATTAAAAAGTCCCATTGTTCAATGCTGACACTGCTATTCACTTCACCTCTCTAGACAAGCACCTCTGGAGCATTTTCATAATTAAACAATGCACCACACATGACATGACACATGCAACTTACCGTCTGTCTCTTAGACTTTTAGTTACAGCAAGCTTGTTTGTCTCTTTTTCTTTCAGCCATATTTATTTGGTGCTATACATTAATTATATCTGGACCTAATATTAATAATGATCAATAATAATGAATCATGTGACTTGACTATTTATAGCTATTATTAGCTATGATGAATGATGACCCGGCCGTATCCAAGAGTAGATAATAATTAGAGAATTATTATCCTCTAATTATTATCTACTCTTGCCTGTACGGGTGTGACTTTTTTGTAATTAATATCAATCAACTAATTATTAGAAGTAACATTGTAATAAAATGGAGTAAAATTTAACTACATACACATTATATCAATGAAGTGAATGAACCTACACTACATGTAGATCTAGTTAGATCAATCAGTCATAAATATAATTGTTATAGATTCTTTTCATTCGGAAGTTCCCAATCCTCCTCATCATCATCATCAGTATCACGATTAGCTGAGCTGTCAGCGGCAGGTAAAGGCCTTTCTTCTTCTGGTGAATCTTCAATCCTTGCTTGATTCTGACGAGTATGGAAGGCAACAGGAGGAGCAGATCTCTGAGCTGCTAGTTTTCTTCTTTTCCTCTGCACAAAACACACTCTAAAGAAACAAAAACATTAATGCATAGATCCATAGGCGGCGGCAGGGTCGGGCATGGACGGGCAATGCCCGACCAAAAATTTTGGCCGGAAACAAAAATTTAATTAATGACATCATTTTAGTCATAAATAATTACCATGGCTAGCAAGAGACAGTCTTTTCTGCTTTCCTTTGTCAACAAGCCTTCCAGGAGAACCAGGACTAGCATTTTACAGGTTGGATAGAGCTTTACAGATAAGATAGGGGGCCTTTTAGGCTCATTTTTATGCTATATCATATTGTATGAGTGCGTTGAGTATACGCCCAAAATACGTGGGAAGAAGTGGGTGTGGCCAAAATCGCGGCGCGCTTCGCGCGCCATTCTTTGCCCGACTGCTCCTCAAATCCTGCCGCCGCCTATGCATAGATCTACATTCCTAAATGATGCTATGGCTTGCTTACATGACAATTACTATTGTGAATATTAATGCAGCAGCAATGAATCCAGAGATAAAGAGGACAGTTAAGAGAGCTTCATCAGGAAGTGTAAAGGGCTCATCAGAAGTATTGAGTGGCCATATTATCCAAAGGGACTGATTGGAAACACTCACCGATATACTATTCCCAGTGTTAAGTGAATCAAATAGGCTCTGAAATACAGTGGAGGATGTTTGGTTCCCATCAAATATAAACATTAATAACAAATAGCCCCGCCCCACACCAAGTTTTCCGTATATTCCCGCTCCAACTTTTGTATATGCCAAACATGTGAGTGCACGTGATTTCTTGCTAATTCCTTTCAAATAAGCAAAGAGTAATTTTTATATATAGCATACGCACACATGTACAATAACAATGTCACACATACATAAAAATGTCCTAAACTATCTAAATAGCAAAAATTTTAATGGACTTTTTCATATATTTCTTGCTGCTGTACATCAAACTCCTCATAGTCTAGCTGCCCTCTCACATAGTCTTGATTTTCTTCTTCATAACTTTTTTGCTGCCTTTGCTTAATTGGCACAGAAGGTGCTTGAGATTGTGGCCTAGACATTGCCACAGTAGGCAGCTTTGGCTGAGGCTTGGATTTCAGAATAACTTGTGGGACTTCTTTATTATTATCATATCGAACTGTATCTCCTTCAATATTACTATCATTATGAGCAGGATTTTTGTAGTGTTTTTTGGCCCAAAAATACACTCTATTAAAAAGGAACTATTCTATGCTTGCATGTAGAAATAATAAACTTACACTGCATTAATTGGGAGAACAATAACAAAAGAAGCAATAAAACCTGCTACAAAGAGCCCAATCAATAAACCTTCATTTGTTGTACTGCTCTCATCATCATCATCTGAAGGTGAGGCAACAGAGAGTGCAGTCATATTATTTATCCATAGCAACTTATTGTTCTCAAAGCTGTAAAGTAATATTGACATCAAATCTGAAGCAGTTCGAGACCCATCCATTGCTGCATATATCATGGTTGAAGAAAAGGACAGTGCATTATTAGAGCAAGAAATGTCAGAATCACGAAACTTGACATCATAGACTGAACATCTGCAAGAATGTCTAGTTTGATTTCTCAAAGCATTCATAAGCTCAGCATCCTATGAACCAATTACTGAACACAACAAGCATACATTGACCATAACTTACATTCCATTCATGGCAATTGTTGACATTCAATTGAACAGTAAATTGAACTGTTAAATTGAAATGTAAAATTTTACAATGACTTTTACTTACCTTCCTCTTCCAATAGTATTTCTTTCTTAATATACTGAGCTGTAGTATCAACTGCACACTGATAAAGACCATACTTAGAGCTACCAGAAGTAATGTAAACTAATTCTGATTCTGTACTATTAGCAATAGCCACTCCATTCTTAATCAAAGTAATATTACGATAGAGAGGATACCCACCACTGACAGAGCATGACAGCTGAGCATTGTAATCTCTTATAAAGCTGGTAGAATTAGAACTGAAGTTGAAATATGAAGTTTCTATAACAAATTATTAAGCACTTTACAAAGTGTCTGTAGTTTAATAATACCAACCATAATATTCCAGTTTTTGTACATTTTGATCAAGAGGAATACCATTTAGTCCTAAAAATGTAGAATATGTCAGGAAGTTTTGATATGAACTAGGACAATTCAATGAAGAAAGTACTGTTGATG